ATATATATGTATATATATATATATACGTGTGTGTGTGTGTGTATATATATATATATATATATATATATATATATATATATATATATATATATATATATATATATATATATATATATATATATATATATATATACGTGTGTGGGTATATATATATATATATATATATATATATATATATATATATATATATATATATATATATATATATATATATATATATATATACGTGTGTGTGTATATATATATATATATATATATATATATATATATATATATATATATATATATATATATATATACACGTGTGTATGTGTGTGTATATATATATATATATATATATATATATATATATATATATATATATATATATATATATATATATATATATATTCCCACCCAAACGCCTCATCCCGTTCCGGTTTATTTCGGCTTATTTCAGAGTTCTTCGCGTTTTCCCTGAGCCATCAATTTTGGTTTAGATCGTCCAGTGCATCTCACTGTCAGTACACAGTCACCATCAGACTCAATCACACTTGATTTTTTAACTATGAAAGGCCAATAAACACTTCAAATTCACTTATATACGTCACAGTTACACCCACTACCGACATTAAACTTCTGTATCTATACTTATTTATGTAAATATACTTATACATGTAAGTATATATGTATGTGAGTTTTAACAGCCAATTTCATATTCACATAAAATAAAAGTGCAAAAAGCATGAAGAACAGATAAATCCACTTAAATATATGCAAAACACATAATTTTCTTTTCATGTACAATTAATGACCAGCAATTTGTTATAGAAAAATAGAAATAAAACATTGATACGATAAAAACGAAAAATAAAAACCTGATTTTATGAGAAAGATTATAAACTACAAAGGACCTGAATGGTAACCCAGATGAGCGAAAAGGACCGTCATTTTTCCCTTAGTCCTTCCAAAAAAGCCTTTCGCAATGTCGAGTAAAAGGAAATGAAGCCGATCCTTCGATGCTTCCGAATCCTAAACGTTTTCTTAGGGAGTGCTTCAGTGTTGCGAAAGACGAGCAGGAAAAAATATTATCCTTGCTCCTTCTTCGTTCGATGAAAGGGTGGCGCCCAGTCTGGACAGGAATTGTGAGGAGCTCATAGGGATATGCTACAATTATATACACTCTCTCTCTCTCTCTCTCTCTCTCTCTCTCTCTCTCTCTCTCTCTCTCTCTCTCTCTATATATATATATATATATATATATATATATATATATATATATATATATATATATATATACATATACATATATATATAGGTGTATGTATATATATATATATATATATATATATATATATATATATATATATATATATATATATGTATATATATATATATATATATATATATATATACATATATATAGACAGATAGACAGATATGGATATCGATATATATATATATATATATATATATATATATATATATATATATATATATATATATGTATATATATATATATATATATATATATATATATATATATATATATATATATATATATATATATATATATGTATATATGAATATATTCATTTACATGTATCTATCTATATACATATATGTGTATGTATGTATATATATACATAATATATATTGATATCTATCTATATCTATCTCTCAATCTATCTCTCTCTCTCTCTCTCTCTCTCTCTCTCTCTCTCTCTATATATATATATATATATATATATATATATATATATATATATATATATATAATTTTTTTTTTTTTTTTTTTTTGAACAGCCATTCATTCCACTGCAGGACATAGGCCTCTCTCAATTCCGTATTGAGAGGTCATATGGCAGTGGCACCCTTGCCAGATTGGATGCCTTTCCTAACAAACCGATAACACTTGTGCCACGGCGGTGCCAGCAGTCAGAGTGCAGGCATTTTTACGAACTCGGGACCACGTGGGTCGGAGTCCAGTGTTCTAACCACTGGACCATCGCGGCAGTATACACACACACACACACACACACACATATATATATATATATATATATATATATATATATATATATATATATATATATATATATACATAAAAGTGCGTGTGTGTGTAAGCAGAGGGCATGAATGAAACACCAGGTGCAACATCTTCATTGCAATTTTATTCACTGGGAAACCCCGAGCCGCGTTCCTTCCACAATCAGATTTCTCCGATAAAGTAAAACCTGACAGCAGGACACAAGGGCCTCTCGCCTCCTTCACATTGCCCAAAAAATAGCTTTTATTCTTTTCCACAGTTCGTAAAGTACAAACCATTACATTAAAACAAAACACTGAAAAATAAAAATGGTTATATATTTTTCATATCTAGAGGTTATATTCTTATTCTTAGAAGATATATAATGTTTTTTATTGTTGTTGATTTTTTTTCTGAAGTATTTATTTCATTTACACTTTATTTCTGACCATCAAATTTGCATTCTATGCATCTCCGATAATCTGAAGTGAAAGAAAATGGTCAGTCATGAGTCAAACCATTTCATAAAAAACTTCCGTTTTCTACAAAGCAAGAAGCTCACTGCAGACAAGCCAAACTGCAATAAATATCCGAAAAAGCTAACTTGTTCTCCGACGCACTTCATGAAGCAGACTTTCCCTTCGGTGTTTGTATCATACAAAGCTAACTTATCCTCCAAACGTGTCCAAATAAAGCTAGTCAAATCTTCACTAGATCTCGCAATCTCCGTCGCCTTGGGCTGTGGGATACGAGCCGATTTGACTTTTAAAAAAATCCTTTAGTCAGTTTTGCATCATGGCGCCTTATGCTCTTTTTAGTATATGTTACCAACGTGCATGATGTTGCATCCTGGAACAATGTAGCTATACACATATGAAAATATATATTGACATAAATGACACAAATCAACAACCAACTCTACAAAAATAGAAGATAAAATGCCCAAACGAAACATCTTGACCTGCTGTTGCATCAAAGAAAAAGAAATATCTCCCATTATCGGCAACGAATGCATACAACAAAATGCAGAACAGGGGGTTCATTAATCACACGTATAGGCAACCCACAAGCCGAACGTTTCTTGTTACAGGAGTCCCTCTGGCGGCAGAATTCTTTCCGTTGCCAAAACACGCCGTGGCAACAGTCAGGCGAAACACATACACTAATTTAACATATAAATGCATGACAATTGTATAACCAACGTACATTAGAGGTCATTCAGTCGCTTGATATTCAGCATAGGATCCTTAGGCTTAGAGAGGAGAAGAAACAGATGGAGACAAAGCAACAAGAAGATGATGATGAAACAGACGAAGACAAACCAGAAGATGATGATGAAGTAGAAGAATAAAAAGAAGGAGTTGTTGTTGTAGTATTAGTTGTTGTTGTAGCCGTAGTAGTGGTAATAGTAGTAGAAGTTTAAGTAAAAGTACTAATAGTATTTGAAAAGAAAGCAAGAATTAGCTCTCATCTGGCTCTCAAAGCCGACCCTCCCCCGAGGATCGAAGTCCCCACTCAGAAATCAGCAAAGCGTCGACCCCGAAGGCTGGCCACCAAGCATCGCCAGGTCACGACCCCCTCCCCTCAACCCCCAATTCCTGCACCGAGCGACCGAGGGGATAGGTGCCTCCCCCTGCTTTTTTTTTTCTTCTCTTTTTGACGCAAACGACACCGGATATCCTAAAAATAATGCTGTGAAGGCTACGCCAGAGCTACGCCTTACGCGGTCGCGCTCTACTGGGATTTCTGAATGTGTCACTTCCCGCCTCTATTCCCGTCCTTGAGATGATTAAAGAAAAAATAAAGACATAAAACCAATGACAAAAACACTCGCTAAGTTCTTCTCTTTGTGAGCTGTTAATAAAGTATATCTTTTTGATAAACCTACTGACTGTCCTAGCATCGATGTAAGGTACGGTCAATAATTTTATATTGGAGGAGGGCGAATTAAGGATGGTATAATGGAGACTTGTAAATTAAGAAAATGGTCACTTTTTAAGAGCTCAAGCTGAAATAATGGATCTTTCGGATATCTGAAATTCTTCGGAAAGCTAAGAATGAAAAACCTGGTCTTTTGGTTTTCGATTTGTAATCAAGCGTCTTTCGGAGTGTTAGAAATATGCAAATGGGCATTCTCTGAGGCCTCGGGGGTGTCGAAAGGGGCTTGAGCAAGGCCTCGAATTCCAAGGACTGTGATAAATGATAAAATGTCGCCTCGTGGGGTTGTTAAGCTGTTGATGTGTTAATTACACCGGATTAATATGATGCAGTTGGGTGAGGGGAGAGGACAAAAGGAGTTCAATATAAATTGTTTTATCACTGTTTTGAATTTATCTTGTGCATCTTAACATTTAAAATAATATATTTTGCGTTGCTGTTTGGTACAAAAAACATCGAGGTTTCGCTCTACGAAGCAGATGAAAGCAAGAAAATGTTAGCTTGGTCACACACACATATACACACAGACATAAATTGTACATATACGAAGTAGCATACTGATCGGTCATACCTAAAACATACGTGATTATAAAATCTGCAATTTATTACCCACCTTAAAATGAAATATTCAAACACAGTTTTACTGAAGTATAACAATCTCACAAAACATCAAGACATAACAATACTCCTTAATAATCAACTTCATGCATAATTCGAAAATAATCTTCAAATTCTTTGTTTATTTAGTAAGTGGTCAATTCCATTAAAAAACAGAGAAATGCGGTAAAACTTATAGATACTTTATACACTCTTTTTCAGTTCTCTTTCCTCGATACAGGAAATTAAACTAGAGGAGAATTCATGACAATCATTCACACGCTCGAGGGAGAAGACTTAAGGCACTGGGATCACTGGGAGATCTTTGTGACCAGCTGGATCTAGAACGACAGAGGGTAGATCTGTTGGTGCGTGGAAGGGATAATGTGTATTTCGTGTTTGTTAATTTCTGTGTAGCTCTCGAATACTTACAAATTACGGAAAATGTGTATGTGTATGTGTGTGTGTGTGTGTGTGTGTGTGTGTGTGTGTGTGTGTGTGTGTGTGTGTGTGTGTGTGTGTGTGTGTGTGTGTGTGTGTGTGTGTGAGTGTGTTTTATACATACACATACCCTCTGGACGATAAAAGCCTTGTAGATCTGGACTGGTTTTAGGGAAATGCCATCGCCACCTTTATAAAGTATTCGCTAGATCAATCATGTCTATTTTTTCTTTCTTTCTTCATTTTATTGTGCTACAACCTTTAAGCAACACACTGGCACTCTCTTGGCAGTTCCTTTGCTTTCCTTTTGGCACATTGAACACTATGCTACGGTGACGCAGAGAGACGCATACATAATGCAGTGTCTCTCTGTCTAACAAACACTGGGAGCAACATGTAAAATACATTAGTTTCATCACAATAAAAGAAATTCGATCACATTACCGAGAAATATACAATAACGTTCAGTCTCTAAATGCAGTTATACATTTCAATAATAAAAATAACAGAATGGAGGTAAGCAATACAGTCACCCTCCTTTCATTGTTAATTTAGTTTTGTAAAGAAGATCAGAGAGTAAGAGATTCAGTTAACGCATTCAGTTAATTAGGTCTATAGAGAGCGAACGTTAAACACTCTGTACAAAGAAAACACCCCAAAAAAGTGGAAATGACCACAAAATTCCTTTGAAAATATACTACATGTAAAACTGTATACAGGAGGCCTCGAGCAGACAGCTGCCTCTTGAGCTGCTCTCTAACGTTGGGTGTGTATCTCTCAATCTAACCTCCATGGCGGTGGGTATAGAACACACATTGAGTAATTCACATTCTGATTTCCGCTGTGGTGGGCTCATAAATCACGTCAAGTGGGCACGGGACGACAAACAAGTAGGAATAAGTCATGCTTTTATCCCACAATTCAACAATCACTTTCATCTGAGCGGAAGAAAAGGCACGAGGGTTTCTGCGAGTTGAAGAGAATCCGTCTGATTTCCAGGGCGGGAGCTGGTCCTCTTCCTGCCCTGACGATTCCTCTTGTGCAGACCCCCCGGGCGCCTCCTCTTCTTTGGCAAAATACCTTACAAATAGACTGCGTTGGTCCCCACGAAGTATGGCACCTGATGTATTTGTTGTTGTTGTTTTTTCTCTCAATAATGGGGATGATTCACATGCGGGTCAACATGCAGTGCCTCACTTAATGCGTGTTTCCATGGTGGTGAGATTATACACCCCGGTTCATATGTCAGTCTCCATGGTGGGAACACGCTGCTTGCGGATCTGGAAGAGGGAGAGGCAATTAGTCCAAGGAAGGGGATTTTAACGCGAAGTACGAAACTAGAAGAAGAAGGGGAAATAACAACTTTTTGAGAGGGAGGCGGAAGAGGGAGAGGGAGAGGGAATTAGCATGGAATCTTAACACGAAATATGGAAGCAGAAGAAAAAGAGATAAGGACATTAAGGATCTTAACACGAAATAAGGACACAGGAGAAAAAGAAGAAGAGAAGATAAGAACGACGTTTTCTTTTTGTTTTTTCTTCTTTTTTGGGGGGAGGGGGGCACCTGTCAACCCTGTTGGACTTACCCGTGTTTACGCCCTCGGAAAAAAGATTGAAGATATAATAACAATGCGGTAAAGAGATAGTTAAACTAAGGCCTGGTGGAAAACCCACATTTTAAGAACATCAACATAAGTTATCACTGGAAAAAGGTGTTTGTGAATGTTTCTGTCTATGCTTGTACCGCCTAACCTCTATTGCAAATATATATTATTTTCAATAATCTGCAACCGGATCTTATTCTACGCTAGTTTCATATGCGAGACCTACCTTGGCAACTGACTCTTTGGAGTCAAGTTTATACGGTTTTGCTCTGGCAACGTTAGACAGTGGTAAATATTGAGTTAGATATTTCGTTTGTTGTTGGCCAAAAAACCACTAAACTGACTGAATAGAAAGCAATCACAGGAAAGCAGTGTTTCCTGGCTTCATTATGAGTGCATGCACACTTATAATTTATAATTATGTTTGCTATTTGATTATCTGTGTTTTAAGAATGTTTCAAGCATTTCAAGCTTACGACAATCGTTCAGAATCCAAACAATCCTTTATCAGAAAGGCCAGATTTAGCACACGAGCGCTCACCCACTTTCACTACACACATGCTTCATAAAAAAAGTGAAAGAATCCCCAGGCATCGGCAAAAGCATCTCCCTTGAGCGAGACATTTACTTGGTTCTGCCCGGTCCTCCCTCATGTCCCGGCCTGGTCTAGGTGGCTCCCCTCAAAGGGCAAGCTGGACGACCAAGCCACGTGGTCTGCAAGCCTATAGCGCTCCTGCTGCAGGTGCTAGTGTAGAATAACAGATGGTCTCCTTATTTCGTCTGCTTACTGAGTATCAAACACTAGAGTATTGTCATCACTGATTATTGTATCAATGAGAAAGCTGTGAAGTTGGGTATTTCTGTACGTGACTTTGACTGAATCATAAATATATATAAAGGTTCGATGAACTTGATGTGAAGTTGGTATTGCTGTATGTGACTTTGAAAGATATAAACACTGAAGACTTAGATGCTTTCAATTACAGGTAAATGCATTGTTAAAGTGATTCACTCTTTATCAAACTCAACAAACTATTTTCTCCTCCTCCTCCTTCTTTTTTCTACAATCCACATTTTAAGATTAATTCTCGGAAATTTATTTTAAGTGTTTCAAGCAGCAGGTACCGTTATCGTACATTTAAAAAAAAACATTCATTGCAAAAACAAATGCAAGAATACGTTAACTTTCTCTCCAATTCATTACAGCTGATTGAAAGGATTTGGTCATTTAGGAAGTTTGATTTTGTCCTGAAGTAAATTTTGTCATTCAAGAAGATTCTCTTTTAAGGTTCAAGTCAATAATACTTTGGCCAACATTTAAGGTCATGGGATTCACTTTCCATTTACTCCTTCTGTCGCCCTGCTGCTTGGGCCTCTCTGCCCCCGCCCCCCTCGACCTCTGGCTTCTCTCCTCCTCCTCCTCCTATATGTGTGTGTGTGTGTGTGTGGGTGTGTGAGTGAATGTGTGTGTGTGAGTGTGTGTGTGTGTGTGTGTGTGTGTGCGTGTGTGTGTGTGTGTGTGTGTGTGTGTGTGTGTGTGTGTGTGTGTGTGTGTGTGTGTGTGTGTGTGTGTGTGTGTGTGTGTGTGTGTGTGTGTGTGGGTGTGTGAGTGAATGTGTGTGTGAGTGTGTGTGTGTCTGTGTGTGTGAGTGAATGTGTGTGTGTGTGTGTGTGGGTGTGTGAGTGAATGTGTGTGTGTGAGTGTGTGTGTGTGTGTGTGTGTGTGTGTGTGTGTGTGTGTGTGTGTGTGTGTGTGTGTGTGTGTGTGTGTGTGTGTGTGTGAGTGAATGTGTGTGTGTGTGTGTGTGTGTGGGTGTGTGAGTGAATGTGTGTGTGTGAGTGTGTGCGTGTGAGTGAATGTGTGTGTGTGAGTGTGTGTGTGTGAGTGTGTGTGTGTGTGTGTGAGTGTGTGTGTGTGTGTGTGTGTGTGTGTGTGTGTGTGTGTGTGTGTGTGTGTGTGTGTGTGTGTGTGTGTGTGTGTGTGTGTGTGTGTGAGTGTGTGTGTGTGTGTGTGAGTGTGTGTGTGTGTGTGTGTGTGTGTGTGTGTGTGTGTGTGTGTGTGTGTGTGTGTGTGTGTGTGTGTGTGTGTGTGTGAGTGTGTGTGTGTGTGTGTGAGTGTGTGTGTGTGTGTGTGTGTGTGTGTGTGTGTGTGTGTGTGTGTGTGTGTGTGTGTGTGTGTGTGTGTGTGTGTGTGTGTGTGTGACACCTTAAGTTTACATTTCCCTTCCTATTCTTCTCCTCGAGCTCTACACACAGCCACACTTCCCCTGACAACACCCTCCCCCTAAACCCGCTAAAAACCCGCTAAACCAGCACCAACCCCCCCCCTCCCGCAGCCAAGGCCCCTCGCCGTCATACCTTGTAGGTGAAGGAGCCGTTGATGCAGAAGAAGAACAGCATCACGAAGAACTGCACGAGGGTGAGGCCGAGCCCCGCGAAGATGAACACGTTATCCTGGTCGTAGCTGTGGCGGTCCCAGAAGCTGTGGTAGTAGCGGGACTTCTGCACCAGCCAGCGGCTCAGGAAGAACACGTTGATGATGATCACGGCGACGGGCTTCAGCAGCCACATCCATGTCACGATGGGTTTGTACTGCGGGCGGAGGGAAAGGAGGGTTAATACTTTCGCTATAGCATATCTCTGTAAAGGGTTGCTACTGTCGTTATAGGGAGGTATTGTAAAGGCTTACTTCTTTCGTTATAGGGAGGTTTTGTTGTAGGAAGGTATTGTGAATACAGCGACGAAGGGGAGAACAAGAAAACCCACGGTAATGTAGAAAGACCTTTCCGCTCAATATTTTTTTTCCCTCTCTCTTGGTTAGCATTGTAACGAAGCAATCTAGTGAAATGGCCTTTGCTATTTTTTTCTCCTTTCCTTTCAACATGATTCGTGTCCATGAAAAAAACCCTGGTGGGTTTACTCTGTGATTCTGTCTTATTCTTTCTTCCCTTCTTTCTTTCTTTCTCTCTTCCCTTCCTCCTTTTCGTCTTCTGATTTGGACGCAAGGATGCTTTACCTCACCTCTGAGCGAAGGCGGGATCTCACTCCCTCCCCTCGACTGTGAAAAAGAACCTAATCTACTAACAGACGTGATTTCTTTTCCCCTTCACAATAATATGTACTTTTATGTTGTCATTTTGCACGTCATATTTAAAGTCTATATTTCATAAATCATAAATGAGACATAGCATATTATATAGAAATAAAGTGTCTTTCCCGTATAAACAGTATGATTTTCCCCATTGTAAACCACTCGTCCTCTCGTATACCATTCCAACAATATATTTGATTTTAAAATTTGGGTAGGCTATAAAGAACACTTCTTCCTCGTCCCATTAAGACCCCTTATCATGTCACTTGCCCATTAACCCTGATTTGACAGTTCCTAATTAACCAAAATTTGAAACACCCACAAATACACAAACCTACACATCTGGTCTCACTATTCCGTGAAAAAAACTTGTCTGTGGATAATCGAAAAAAATGAAAATTAAATTAAATAAAAAATCATGAGTTGCTAATAAAAAAACTCATCTGTTCTTTTATCGGGTTTTAACCGAAATAAACACAAAAAATCCCAGAATCCGAAATAAATAAATTCAACCTCAACCAGCGCCGCCAACACACGCCTGCGCCACCACCTTGCACGGGAAAAAAACTAAAATACAAATAAAACACTAAATATTTACATACTATAAAGACACCTACACATGCTGTTGAATATGCACATATACACATACATACATATAAATAGACAGATAGATTGATAAGCACACATATATCAACAAAGCACTAAAGCTCTTCACATTCCCCCAAACGAGCCCCAGGACGCGGCGCGACCCACCTTGCACAGGCCGATGATGAGGATGGTGGAGAAGAAGAGGCAGCCCACGCCCTCCGCGATGCCGATGTTCACGCGCACACTGTGGTCTGCGGGGAAGGGGGGGGGGTTAAGGCGGCGTGGATTCTGATGTCGAGATTTTTGGTCTTTCTAGCTGGAAAGTGATGTTTATTGTGGTTGCTTATGTTGTGTGTATGTTTGTATACGTATACCTGTGTGTTCCGTGTCTCGATCTTTTCTTTCTTTCTTTCTTTCTCTTTTTCTTCCTTTCTTTCTTTCTTTCTCTTTCTGTCTTTGTCTGTCTGTCTGGATATATATATATATATATATATATATATATATATATATATATATATATATATATATACATATATATGTATATACATATACATATACATATACATAGATAGATACATAGATAAATAGACAGATAGATGGATATACAAGTACATACACACATACATATATATATATATATATATATATATATATATATATATATATATATATATATATATATATACAAATGGAAAAACACTCAACTGTGTTGACACGATGCTCCTGGTCGAAACTGTTGCCTCATTTGAAATGAATCCCGTTTGTGCAGTGTGGGTTTTTTCTACCACACACATATACATATATGTGTGTGTGTGTGTGCGTGTGCGTGTGCGTGTGCGTGTGCGTGTGCGTGTGCGTGTGCGTGTGTGTGTGTATTATATATATATATATATATTCATATATACATATATATATATACATATATATATATACATACATATATACATATATATATATATATATATATATATATATATATATATATATATATATATATATATATATATATGTACATGCACGTATGTGTGCAAGAGTCATGGTGAACAAGGCAAAAGTACAGTGCCATGATGAAACTAAAAGGCCTTTGGAACAACAGTGAGCTTCCCTGATTATATTTTTCTTTATTTTTTGGTGTGTGTATGCGTGTGTGCGTGTGTGCGCCCAGAGTGTGTGTATACACGTACTCTCCACGAGGCGAGTGGCAGGCCATCGCGCCGGCGCTTACCTGTGTGGTAGAGGTAGTACTGGCACCAGCGAATGCCGTGGTTCCAGTGGCACCTGTAGTGGACGGCCAGCTCATAGCCGTAGAAGGCGCAGGTGGCTATTCCGTGCAGCTGAGGAGGAAGGTTGTGTTAGTCCTGACACGAGCCATTTTGTATGGGATCCTATTACAAATGGTAAATAAGAAGCTGGTGATAATGAACTAGTAATAATATATAATAACAAAATAGTAATAAACTACTAATAATATATAATAACAAAAAGGTAATAAACTACTAATAAAGAGTTAGCTTCGACAACTGCAATATCATTTATCATATCCATGTTTTTTGGACAGCAGGGTTTAATTAAAGAAGGAAAGGCGTACATATCACAAGCAAATCATAGTTATTGTATATATTTCAGAACTGCTTCGTGATTTCACTTCACTAGCTTAAACCAAGAACTTCGCTGTGGCAAAGTCGCTCATCGTGACAGACAATAATGAGGATGGAAATTTGTGTTTTTTTTAATTTTTTTTTTCACAAGACCCTGAACCCCAAGGTCAGACGCATGTTAAATCAGCCCTGTATGATATTTACTCAATGGTATTATTGCGTTAAAATTCTATTTCACTTTCACAGAGTTTTTTGCGTGCGATATTCTTCATATCATCAACATTAATCATTACTGTTGTATTTTCATTTCTAATATAATAATTAACCTTTCCTTACAGTAATGATCTTGTGTGTCAGTACTATAGCTATCATTGCCCGTAGAACAGCAATATCTGTCTGGTATTATCCTAACATTGTAAATTTTATAATCATAATCATCAGTATGAATTTTTATTTTTTTACCTGTATTACACCACTGTATGTATTATTTTATCGTCAGTACCACCGTCAGCATTATACTTATCATTTTCAAAGTGGCAATTATCCTTTTCAGCATTATCATTACCATTGTTAGTATCATAATCATCATTGTCAGTAGTAGTATTATCAGTGCTATAATCATCATTGTTAGTATTATTATTGTCACTATCAGTGCTATAATCATCATTGCCTGTATTATTATTATCACTATCAGTGCTATAATCATCATTGTCAATATAATCATCATAACTACTATTATAATCGTCATTGCCAGTACTGTTAACATCCAGTATCATCATCATGAGTGCCAATATAATCATCAACATTATCGGTGTTATAACTACCATTACTAATATCCTATTCATCATTGTCGCTATTATCATCATCACCATCAGTACTGTAATCATCAATGTCAATATCATGATTATCACAGTATAATCATCGTTGCCAGTGTTATTATCACCCAGTATTATCATTATGAATGCCAACATGATCATCAACATTATCGGTGTTATAACTACCACTGTTAGTATCATAATCATTCTTTCTGTACTGTTATCAACCAGCACAATCATCATCACAGTCGTCGTCATAACTGCCATGGCTATTACCATAATCACTCTTGTCTGCATTATGTTAATGGAAACGACGACCACCCACCAGGTCGATGACGGCGAGCAGGAGGCCGAAGTTGATGATGTTCCTGAGCGAGCAGGCCATGGCGGGGAATCGCGGCCGCGCTGGAGCTCACGCCAACAGCCCTGGAGGAGCCAGACGGGGTCAGTTCAGGGTCGGGTGAGATGTATTAGAGATTGGTGGACGGGTAGGTGTATAGGCAGGTATCACACGCCAACAGCCCTGGAGGGAGCCAGACGGGGTCAGGTCAGGGTTAGGTAAGATGTATTAGAGATTGGCAGACAGGCAGGTGTACAGGCAGGTATCATATATTTATGGAGATGTGTGCAGGCGGACAGGGATCAGTTCATCCGGTGGTTTTCGCAAAGATGTATTTTGTACATAAGTGGAGAGATGGGTAGACAGATTGTTGGGTATATAAGAAGGTAAACTAATGGATTGATAGGTAGATTGATGGATAGATATGGGATGGATAAGGATATTATATGACTGAAAAAAAATCTTATCACTAGTTACATTTCATTCCTTCAAGAGGAAGTTTTGAACATGAATCGCGCGAATGATTTTCCAAAGAGAAGATGAAAGTCGACAGCATTCGTCAAAATATGCAAATTTAGAAACACGTCTCCAAACTCGCCCGTCACTGCTGCGTGTTACATGAAAATAGGTATTTCTTAACATAAAATAGCCACACTATTAATGCCACAACTGCAGACACCACAGCTGCTGTTCCTCTGTATTCCTCCACACACCAGTTCTGCCTGACACCTGCTGCAGCACAGGTGGAAACCTACAGGTGTTTCATCTCTCCAAAATAACCTTTCGCTGCACAACTTCAGAATATGAAAACATCACACCCTTCATTCATATAAAAGTTTATCACATGAAGCATTATCTACAAGAATAACAACAAAAACATATTTATAACAACGAAAAAAAAAATAATCGACAAAGAACAAGCTAACCACCGAGGCAAGATAATGCCCCCCCCCAAAAAAAAAAAAGAAAAAAAAGAAGAGCAATGGACAAACCAGGGGAGGAAGGGGGGGGTGGAGAAGAGGAGGAAGGAGGGGGAAGAGGAGGGAGGGAGAGAGGGGAGGGGGAGAAAGTGGCTTATACAACGAGGAAGTTGTTAAACGAAATGTGAAAATAACCAACGATCTGCTAAGCTCGTGAGCCCGTTCCTCACTCCATCGTCGTTGTTAGTAAACCTTGTGTAACTTGACTAATAAACGGCGGTTGTGCGCGAGTTTGAAAGGACTTTCATGTATCATCTCTTCTAAAAAAAATCATCGTCACTACGAGGCTGGACAAAGAGGACACGAGAAAAAAACACTGATGGAGAACAAGGATAAATAAGAACTGATGGGAAATACCAGCAGCATTATGTGTCATGGATCCCCAGTGCCAGCAGGGAAATATGTATCATGGATCACCGGAGCGAGGCGGGAAACAGGACCAATTCTGAACCGCGAACTGTTCAGTGGGATCACTGCGCATTTTAGGGCAGTGAATTCGCCAGGATATTACCTTATCATTTTCGGCTACTAAAGGAAGTGATTGTCCCCCCTCCCCCCCTTCCCCCCGGTGATGCTACCAATGGCCTCGGCAAGGGCGGCGCGGATGTTCCTTCCGCAATGCAGGTGCGTTGTGTGGACGGAAGCTGTCGGTCTGTCTCTCTTTCTCTCTCTGTCTATCCATCTATCTGTCTTTCTATCTATCTATCTGTCTGTCTCTGCCATACACACACACACACACACACACACACACACACACACACACACACACACACACACACACACACACACACACACACACACACACACATACACACACACACACACACACACATATATAACGTTCTTTAATAGAAAAATCTTTTCACTTTCACATTATTGTCTCAGACTGCCTGTGGCTGAACGAGAACTGGGCTTCGTTGCGTCCTTGCTTGCTCAATGTAATCACAGAAAACGAGATAATGTGAAAGGGAGACTGAAGCAATTATGTCAGTGAGGTTTTCAGAAGTCCAATCTCCGTGCTGGGATTTGGATAGGTTTCATCTAGACTATCTTTGTGTTTGTCTTCTTAAAATAGATATCTGCGCGCGCGCGCGTATGTGTGTGTGTGTGTGTGTGTGTGTGTGTGTGTGTGTGTGTGTGTGTGTGTGTGTGTGTGTGTGTGTGTGTGTGTGTGTGTGTGTGTGCGTGTGTGTGTGTGTGTGTGTGTGTGTGCGTGTGTGTGTGCGTGTGTGTATGTGTAGATAGACACATTAATAGATAGAAAGATAGACAGAGAGGGAGGGAGGGGGAGAGAGAGAGAGAGAGAGAGAGAGAGAGAGAGAGAGAGAGAGAGAGAGAGAGAGAGAGAGAGAGAGAGAGAGGAAGGGAGTGAGGGAGAGAAGAAGTGAGGGAGAGGGAGAGGGAGAAGGAGAGGGAGAAGGAGAGGGAGAAGGAGAGGGAGAAGGAGAGGGAGGGAGGGAGGGAGGGAGGGAGGGAGGGAGAGGGAGAGGGAGAGGGAGAGGAGAGAGAGAGAGAGAGAGAGAGAGAGAGAGAGAGAGAGAGAGAGAGAGAGAGAGAGAGAGAGAGAGAGAGAGAGAGAGAGAGAGAGCAGATAGAACGCGGCCCATTTTCGTGCAGGAGCAGGTCTCGCCTTCCAAGACACCAATAACGCCCCCCCCCCCCCCACCCTCCACCACGCCCCTACTCCCCAACCGGTTCCTACGTCGACGCGTGACTTCGAAAAGGCTTGTTCCAATAACATTAAAAACTCTGCATGACCGCCGCCCACGTCCCAGCCACCACGCCCATTACGAACGCGTTTTGTCCGAGTGAGCCAAACACCCATGCTAATTTTCCCGTGAATCATGCACAAGGTATTCATACTACGTGTGTGTGCTTGCTTCCAATTGCGATAACTTTTGCGAATGCTGCGTGCATACATGATTAAACATAGAGTTATATGTGCGGGTGCATTTGTTTGTGTATGCGCACCCGCACGTGTGTGAACGCGTACATTTGCAAACATCAGTTCTATTCATCCTTTACCTTCTCCTCTTGTAATGATAAAAAAGAAAAAAAAATCGCTCTCGCCTTAATAAGGAAGTCTTAGATTGGCGGCCTGATCGCTGGTCCTTTGCCCCCCCCCCCCTCCGCCGTTCCTCGTCCCTCCTTGTCCCCCGCACTGGCCTTCCACCCCTCGCGACCCCCTATCCATCCCCCTCCGCCCCCTCAATCCCCCCCTCCTCTCCCCCCTTTCCCTCAACTCCCCCTCCCCTCTCTACTCCCCCCTCCTCCCTCCCCCTCCTGAACACGAACGTCCCCCATTGGAAGGTGAAGGTGAATGTTATATATACATTTTTTTTCTTCTTCCTTCTTTTCTTTTCTTTTTTTTTCTTTTTTCTCTTCATCTGTCACTGCCATGCCTTTGAGGGAGGTCGAGAGAATATCAGGAGCGAGAGTAGCGATGCAGAATGAGGAACAGGAAGAGGAAGGACGCAGAAGGGAAAAGAGGAAAACGGGAAAGGAGAGGAAGAGAGTGGGAAAGGAGAGGAGTGGAGAGCGAGCGAGAGAGAGAGAGAGAGAGAGAGAGAGAGAGAGAGAGAGAGAGAGAGAGAGAGAGAGAGAGAGAGAGAGAGAGAGAGAGAGAGAGAGAGAGAGAGAGAGAGAGAGAGATTTAATGACCTCTCCCCTCTACTTACCCTCGACTTCCCACGGTACCCAGGACCCTACTGGTCATTGCCTGTGCCAGTTTGACCTGCGCCCGGAAAGTAACGGCAATAGTGAAGCGCCCACAGAGCAAGCGATTCCGACCCTTACCGTCGAATACTTTATAACTACATGTTAATTTATATCTTGATTATACTCAAAATGATTGTTAAAAAATCAATCACTAAGTTTGTAATCATTATTATTGACGATATATTAGTTATCTATTGTTCACAATTTAATTGTATTGACATATCCAGTGTCCCTGACCAGACCTGTGACCACAAGACCCTTATACTGCTATAAACAGAGAGTCTGTACTGACATTTCCCACTAAAGAGCAATGTTGCCATATTCTTATGTTTATTGAATATTTTGTGAACCATTCAAAATCTCAGAGAGCCGAAGTCACTCTGCCTTCAGCATCGGCTCAAGCAACACCTCCAGCTCTTTCTCTCTTGTACCGCTTCGCCTCGCGGGCGTGACAAGAGGCCTCGCTCCCAATGGGCGTCTCTGCCACGCCTGTCCTCTGTACACCACCTACCATATTCTCGTGCAAATAAAAGTCTGAAGCTGCGACAACTTTAACTTCAACTCCACAACACTTCAAGAAACAACCGGCAGTCCCACACAAAGAAGAGAGAGGGGATAAATCCACAAATGTGTCATTACAAGAGACAGAGAGAGAGAGAGAAAGAGAGAGAGAGAGAGAGAGAGAGAGAGAGAGAGAGAGAGAGAGAGAGAGAGAGAGAGAGAGAGAGAGAGAGAGAGAGAGAGAGAGAGAGAGAGAGAGAGAGACGGAGACAGAGAGAGAGAGAGAGAGGAGGGGAGAGAGGGAGAGAGAGAGACAGAGAGGGAGAGACAGAGACAGAGAGGGAGAGAGGGAGAGAGAGAGAGAGAGAGAGAGAGACAGAGAGAGAGGAGGGGAGAGAGATACAGAGACAGAGACAGAGAGAAATAGCCAACATGTAATTGACTACATAAATATATAGATATAAAAATAGACTATGAACATATAAATACGGATGAGAGCTAAGCAGTCTGATGATGGAAAACCCAAGCTACGACTTCTGACATATTCTTAAGTAAGTTAATAACGCCCCTCCCCCTCTCCCCCTCTCCCCCTCCTCCTCCTTCTTCTACTCATCTTCTTCTTCTTCTTCTTGCGTTCCTTCAACTTGCGCGGAACGATAAAGCGACAGAAGTCAAATACATTATCATATGCGTCATCGTTGCGACAGCTGTTTCCACCCCAATTACCAGCCTTTATCAGGCACCTCGTTTTATGCGAGAGTAATTACTGTGAGGGATTCCGCTGTCGGTGGAGCCTCGTCGCTTGGCTCTGCTTGTCACTTCGAGAGAGAGAATGACATACAAGGGAGAGGGGGGGGAGGGAGTGAGGGAGGGAGGGAGGGAAGGAGAAAGAGGGAGAGAGAAAAAAGAGAAAGATAGAGAGATATAAATAGAAAGAGAGAGAGAGAGAGAGAGAGAGAGAGAGAGAGAGAGAGAGAGAGAGAGAGAGAGAGAGAGAGAGAGAGAGAGAGAGACAGACAGAGAGTGAGAGAGAGAGGCCGACTGAGAAGAAGGGATGGGAGGGAGGGAGGGAGGGGGAAAGGAGGGAAGGAAAGAGAGAGGGAGGGAAGATAAGGCACGAGAGAAAGGGAAAGAGCGAGTGAGCGAGAGCGAGAGACAGAGAGAGGGAGAAACACGCTGCTGTCAACATGATCATCAAACTCAATTAATCCCAAGTGCCGTGATTCATTTCGCCAAAGCGTCGCCTAACCGAAGCCACCGGAGTCTTCGAAGGATCCGTTGCCAATGTCTACGCGAATGGCAAATCCCAGAATGGCAAATCGCCGAGGCTTTCGTGAATGCGACCCTGCCCACATACGCGGACTCAACCACGCACGAAAGTAACCCCATAAAAAAAAATATATAAATATATATCTTTTCATCGCTCAAGCATCGCGTCTCTGCACACATAAACCTTAGCTTCCGTACACATAATGCGACGTAATGTAACACCTCGGAATGAATTAGCCACCCCTCAAATCGCGAAAAACATCCGCGTTGGAATGACGTAAAAGGGGCTTCGCAAATTACGCTCCACCTCCATTGTGACGGTATTTGGGCCACAGGAACTGTCTGGATTAATAACAATGACCGAGAATCTAATTTCACTGTACCGGAATAAGGATTTTACAAAAGATCTCTTCGAGGAATTATTACATGGGGTGGTTTGAAAAGAAAATTGGCCTTTGCTTCCATTAGAATTCACGAAATAAATGTCTCTATATTCTATCAATGGCATTTCAAGATAAATGTAATCAAACAAGACTTATAAGAATATACAAAACGCAGAATCTTTGGAATGACAAAGAATAAATTTCCAGCTCAGAAATAATAACTAAAATAACAGCCACCTAATAAATGAAAGAATCAACGAATAAATAAATTCATTAAACATTCAACATATAAAAAAATCATGATTACATTTCCAAGAGATAAGTTTAGCGGCGCCTGTCATGGCAACGCCTAGGTTTCCTCTATGGCAACTTTCGCCTCCCGGAATAGGCAACGCCATCGCCCGGCGCCACGCAATGTAGAGACCGCGATACGTCCAGTTGATGTGATATGAGATATGTGATAATCGATCAAAAGACTTCCTGAATCACTGTATCATTAAATGTGATATCAATATTGATGAAGACACGAGTATTTTTTATGTTCTTTTTTTTGGCACGGCTGGAATTCGAAAACACCGCCTTTGGATCGTGACGCGAATACAAACTCAATGTACGCAATTGAGAGAGAGAGAGAGAGAGAGAGAGAGAGAGAGAGAGAGAGAGAGAGAGAGAGAGAGAGAGAGAGAGAGAGAGAGAGAGAGAGAGAGAGAGAGAGAGAGGAAGGGAGGGAGGCCACTTAACCACCCATAAACCCTGTTGCCAATGTCTATTTATTTCATTCTTATTTCGTGTCTATTATAATAACTTCTTTCCAGCTTCTCTCTGCATTATAATTATCTTTTTAATTATTACGATTTCCCCAACGCCTCGGTCACTCTTATAATCTCATATGCTGTTGTTGAAAGCTTGTTTTTGGCGCGTAATGTAAAAGACGAATTCCGTATGGCGCTCTATACTAAATTTCGCCGCCACTGGTAGTTAATAGCTACTACAAAGAGCGAGTTTCAGCTGCATTTCTTTCTCTCTCTCTCTCTCTCTCTCTCTCTCTCTAATTTCCATTCTTCACTCTTCACTCTCTTATCTCTCCTCTCTCTTCCCTCTTCTCTCTCTCCTCTCTTCTCTCACTCCTCTCGCTTCCCTCTTCTCTCTCTCCTCTCTTCTCTCACTCCTCTCGCTTCCCTCTTCTCTCTCTCCTCTCTCTTCTCTCATTCCTCTCGCTTCCCTCTTCTCTCTCTCCTCTCTCTTCTCTCATTCCTCTCGCTTCCCTCTTCTCTCTCCCTATCCCTATTCCTCCCTCCCTGAGTGCGTACGTGGGTGGGCGCTCATTCGTCCTCAAATTCGGCCGGAGAACGAAAACAAGGTTCATAGCCTGGAGCATGACTTTAAATATTCATACTTCAAATTTCCTACTTTCCGGAAAGGACGCTGTATGAGCGGAACAATGTACAACAGAACGTGCCTGGCATCATTAAACAATCAAAAACAATCAAATATGTCGCTTAAATAACTTGTAAGGCTGAGGCTACGACAGGGAGTACATGTCGCGGGCTATGCTCAAGGTCAGTATTTGGGAAGCATTTCCTTGTGGGGCCTAAGGTGGTTTAACTTTCAAACTACCTTTAAGTAACGATCTCTGCCTGATCTCGCAGTCCAATTATTCTATCATTATATCACTTTTTTATTCTAGGAGGAATAAGTAAGTTTCCTATTAGTATACTCTGCTTCCGAATTGTAAAAAGTCGCGTATATTCAAAATAGTTCTCATATATTCCTCAATTTTCAAAATCAAGGATGTATAAAGTTCACTTTCTTCAAAAGAGAAGAAAAGTTTACAAACTAAAGAATGACAAACTAAATCGCACACATATAAAATAATAGGAAAGAAAGTTCCCCGGGAGACGGCCCACCACATCCTGCCAAAACCAAACCCTCTCAGCACGCAGCCACAAACCCACGATATTCCCACCCACTCCCACCCTTCCCTACCAAACAAATGCATAAAATAAAACTCCACTATATTCCCCATATCACACCAGAGACAAATCTGCACTATAACACCACACGGTACATCCAAGGGCACTATTTATCCCAATATACGCACAGCGACCGTCTTCTCCTCTGCTCAGCCGAGTGTGGCGGCTGGAGACTTCATCGCACTCGCTACAGTTCACCTCACACTTTCACGCTGCCTGTCTGTCGCCGGATCTCACGCACTTGCATCGCCGTATTTGCATCGAATTCACTGCACATAGACTTCCCTGTTCTGCTGAGGCGTCTTCAAGGTAGGCTCATACGTTTCAGGAGTAGGAATGGGCCCTGCTGTGGCTTCTCCCACTCGAGTTCTGGGCACTTTAGATGGAAATCGGTTGCGAAAGCCAGCATATGGATTTATTATCATGGAAGAGGGGATGGTTAATGTTCGGTAATACAGTTCACCATCTTTTTTAGTGTCCCTCAGAGGCCATCACACTACCCCTCGTGTCCTCAAATGCTAGGGAATGTAACGCTTCCTGTTCTAAGGTATTACTTTTTCCTATACAAATCCTGATAATGGTAACTCATTTCGACAACCAAAATTGACTTCTTACCACCAAATCGTCGCGAAAAGCACGAGATACCCTTGGTTCTCAATACTTTGTTTACACCTTCACTCTACCTGTGGGAACACCTGTGGGCAGCGTCCTTACTACCTGTCGAGTTTGCAACACGCGTATATCTCTTCGTTTTGTTTCGTTGCTTTTCAAAGTTCACTTCTCATTTTCAAAATTCAACACGGAATCCCATCGATAGTAGACAGTATTTTTCGGTATTCACGTGGCGTTACATAAACTGCAGTCGTAGTTTATTAGCGAAAAATACTTCAGTGATGGCTGACGAGAGCCCGCAGCCTGTGGCATCGGATGCGCAGTCGGCCGCGCGCAGGAAGGTGCCAGCTTTGCGAATTTAAGGACAATTTTGATTTAAAATGCCAACAGCTACATGAGGATGAATCGTCATGAAACCATGAATAAACTTCAGAATCACGACCCCTATACATCGACATGCCCGAACGACAAACTGAAGCAAGCGCTTCTCGAAGACGTCGCCGGAGCCCAGGGTCTCTGAGAGGTGCGCGATAATGCTTAAAATCCGCCGACGTCCGACAGCCTCGTCTCGCCCATTTCCGCCTCCCGGACGATGGAGCTTCTCAGGTAAGCGCAGGCGACGGTGCAGGCAGCGCAGAGCCGAGGGAGAACGGCCAGGAACCGGTTTTACTCGGTGTCTGTCGCCTTCAGAGCGGGGAAAAGGCGTTTTGTTTCGCCTGTGCCTAGATGCCAGATTGCCACGCCCTTGCCTGAGGTTTTGCCATAATAGGTGCTGCGTGGATCTTAAGATTCCGCCAATAGATTTATGCTCATCCCATACATTTTTCACGCCTCATCTCTTTCATAACCTAGAAGTGTTTTAACGAGGTAAATTGTCCGATACAAGAATGCACACACACACACACACACATAAAAAAAGAAAAATACGAAAAAAAAAGCTTAATAACACGTGAACGAACGCATAAGCAGAGTACATCCCTCGCGACGAAATTAACCTTCACTCCCTGGCTCTCCCGTGTCATCTGTGCGCGTGACGAGTGTAAGTGTAGCAGCCCATTTAAGAAAGTAAAGATGAATGAAAATGTTTTAAAAGATGATGTTTCAAAGTCGAATATATAGACGGGTCTTGGAACTTAGTCGTTTACTTCAACGGCAGCTGTGGTCGCTTAACAGTGCCATGCCCTATCGTAGGGGCTGGGAGTTTTGCGTATGAGTGCGTGATATGGAAGAACATGTAGAAATTGTATTCATTAATTATGGAGAATAAAGGAAGAAGCAACAAGAATAGTTTTTTCTACAGAATCCATTTGAAGTATTCAATCAGTAAACAAATTCCATCAAAATGGGCGAGGCCGCAGCGATAATGAGTGAACACGTTTGCATTCTGTTTCAGTTTTGTGAATCTTCGAATTTCCATTTTTTTGGTTTGACCTTTAACTTTGTGAATCTCTCTTCGAATTTCCATTGCTTCCCTTTTTAGGTTTGATCATGACTTTATTATTCCTTTCTTTCTTTCTCTTTATTTAACTTTGATCATATGACATTATCGGGATTTAAAAAGTCTTCATTTAGAGATTTGTTTTCGATAATTGTAGGAGAAAATTTATAAATACAGGAGTAGGAGGAAGAGGCGTTTAAGAAACGGTAACACCTGTTAATTAATGAGTCAGGGCGTCATGCGCTCTGACAAGGCTTGTTGACGCCGTCCCTCCGGTCACTCTCGCTCTCGCTGTCTTTTTTCCTTTTCTTTTTGTCCCCCTTTTTTCTTTTCCTTCTCGATTTCTCTCTCTCTCTCTTTACATTTATATATATATATATATATATCGCGCGCGCGCGCACACACACACACACACACACACACACACACACACACACACACACACACACACACACACACACACACACACACACACACACGTGTAGGTACGAACACCTTCTGCTGAAAGTCAACATTTTTATTCTGCGCAACAAAGTCGCCTTCATTGTCCCTTCCAGGAGTCGGAAAGTACCAGACAGGCTTTCTTGTGTAACATAGATCTTGAGGGGAAGAAGAAAAAGAAGAGGGGGAAGGAGAGGGAAAGGAAGGGGGAGAGGGAGAGGTAGTTGGAGATGGAGAGAGAAGGAGGGAGAGCGAGGGAAATATATCAGAGAGTTTTCCCAGACTGCCAACACATTATAAAGTTTGGTGAACAGGCAGTTAACATTCACGTATGTGTGTATTTGGCACGTGTGTAAGACCATGGGAATTCATACAAAGTAAACCTTGTATTTACGTGAGTTACTGCCTGTGTACGTGTACATGGACATGTGCACTTGCATGTACTTACGACAACGCACGCATTCATCCCCACTCCACCCCCCACCCCACACCCCCTGGCACGCGAGCTCCCCCTCCCTCCTGCCGCCCCGCGAGGCGCCGCGCATAAGGTGCAGATGTCCCTCCCTCGAAATCCTGCGTCGAACAAATGATCGGATAAAGCAGGCACGTCAGCCCTCGCTGCCGCGCACTGATTGGATAATGGATAATGGGCGGGGCAGACAGCGGCAGCCACGTGGCGCTGATCCAGTTTATCCAGCTAAGGACGGAAGGGAAGCGACCTCGCCGATGCCTCCCTCCATTGCTTCCTTCCTTCCTTCCTTCCTTCCTTCCTTGCTTGCGTGCGACGTCGACGCGATGCCCGAACGTCGGATTTTTTTTGCTTCCGGGAGGAAAGATTAGGTCGAGAGAGAACTGCGACGTCTTTTGATATCTGAAGGATCCTAATTCAGCGTAAATGGGTGACTGATCCTCCAATAATCACGTTAACAGACGAATTTGCCTCGCTTGCCGCCGACCTACTTTCGCGAAACGACGCCAAATGTTAACGTATAAAATATGATGTCTCTTTTGGCTCTTTTTTCAAAAACTTAAGATAATATAGATCTAATGTTTAATGGTTAAGACAAATAAATATGCGAGACAAATAATCTGACCGAAGGGGAAAGACGATTAAAAAGAAAAAGTCATGTTGACAAATATAGAAAAGGTATGAATGGGAATGGATATTTTTTAACAAGACGTGCGTGTCAGCCATGAATAAATGCGAAAGGTGGATCCCTGTACGTATAATAAATTCCATGAACACTTTTCCCATAAAACTACGTCTTCGAGAGAAAAAAAATCGGAACCAAGACGTAGCTTCCTTCCCGCGTTGAAAGGAAACGCAGACTCGCCTAACCTGCGCATGACACAGACCCTACGACCGCAGGCATGTAAGCAGCAGTGCGCATGACGGCAAAGGCATTCATTCCCTTTGCACAGGTGTAATTTCCTGCCCCCCCCCCCCTCCCTTTAGACAGGTAGGTGTCTTACCTCGCCGATATTGAGGGATAACTATCACGAATATTTTCCTTGCTTCCCTCGACAGCAGACGCCGCGGGTCCTTCCCCTGTCACTGTCGATGCAACACTGGGTAACGAACGGTAGTTTACCCCGGGGAGGGAGAGAGGGGAGGAGGGGAGGGGAAGGGTAAGAGGGTGACCTGACCGCGGGCTCGATCTTGCCTTAGTGTGTTAACTCAGTTACTCACTCTCACTCTACCTCACTCTCCCTCTCTCTACCTCACTCTCCCTCTCTCTGCCTCTCTCTACCTCACTCTCCCTCTCTCTGCCTCTCTCTACCTCACTCTCCCTCTCTCTGCCTCTCTCTACCTCACTCTCCCTCTCTCTTCCTCTCTCTGCCTCACTCTCCCTCTCTCTGCCTCTCTCTACCTCACTCTCCCTATCTCTGCCTCTCTCTACCTCACTCTCCCTCTCTCTGCCTCACTCTCCCTCTCTCTGCCTCTCTCTACCTCACTCTCCCTCTCTCTGCCTCTCTCTCTCTCTCTCTCTCTCTCTCTCTCTCTCTCTCTCTCTCTCTCTCTCTCTCTCTCTCTCTCTCTCTCTCTCTCTCTCTCTCTCTCTCTCTCTCTCTCTCTCTCTCTCTCTCTCTCTCTCTCTCTCTCTCTCTCTTCCATTCTCACTACACACACAAATATGGTTATGTTTTATATGATATTTACTTTTTTGACAAAATAAAGATATCTACTATCGTAACATTGTAGTAGCGCTCGAAGATGTGAAAGACGAGAGATAGAGACGGACTGACAGACAAGCAGAGAGAGAGAGAGACAAATAGAGAAAGGGAGGACAGGATGCATAATCAACCAGTTGGTTGATTATTTCCTTAATGGATTTATTGACACTGAAATGCCATTCTTACAATTACGCACTAATTACCTCCCTGCCCTGTTGTAATGATTATAATAACACACACTCAAGTTATGCAGCGGAGACTTAGAGCAAATGAACTTGGGTTGCAGCCTTAATCGAGCCTCAGCAACAAAATGTCAATGCTTCCTTGAATGGCCAGTGTCGAGCTGAAGTGACTTCACATCTTCAACTCTATGTTCGTCTGTGATATATATATATGTATATGATATGTTCATGTATGTCTAGAATCTCACGTACACCGTATTTGTGCACATGTACATATGTGTGTGGGTGTGCGTCATTCTAGGCAACATTTAAGTGTCACCTGCACGCGGTGTTAGTCTCAGCAAGAGCAATTAAAGGCTGTGATAATGGTAAGTGAGGTGGTATGCAGTCTTAATGGCGAGAGCGTGGCTGCCATGAACTGTTTTATCGGCAGTTTCTGTGGTTTGGGCGTGTTAAGTGAGTTATTATTGTCTGTTATTGTTAACCATTACCCGTAGGTGTCACTGAAAGAGAGAGAGAGAGCGAGAGAGATAACTATTATGCAGGTGATGTGATATCTGTGCATGATTTGAACAGTTGTTGTATCACTGTTACCGTGACCTAGGCTTTGGCAAGCAGTGTGTTGGCAAGTATGATCGCGCATCCTATAAAACAGAGACACTTTAAATACAGGTTTGTTTTGTCCTCATTCTTATAACCTAGTTGAGAGGTCTTAATGACGTAATTCAATAACTGGACATGATCGGTAGTGGTATGAAAATTATAATGTTTATGATCTTTCTGACTGTATGCAAATCGACTGTGAAGGAGGGTTGATGTGTGTGGCCATCCTGACAGAAGAAACACGTGTTAATGTTGACCTTTGAGAGACGAAGTGAGGGGCAGGAAGAGGACGAGACAAAGCACCGTGACAATTATATGTTGAGAAAGAAAGTGGATTAATTGAGCTCTGAGGGGAAACTATGAAATAGGTAAGGTTAAGGGAAATACGCGAGAAATGGGGGTATAGAGACAAATCAAAAAGGGAGGAGGAGGGGAGAAAGAGAAAGTGAGTGAGAGTAAGAGAAAGA